TTTGTCTACGAAGAACGTCCGGGACCCTGTGCATGACTGGGATCCATGGCTCCGACCACCCAAAATGCTGGAGAGCATCTATATGTTCACTGTTGCGGATGATCTTTATTGTTATGGAATTCAAAAGCTCGGCCTCTTCCATTGATGCTTCCTTCGCCATCACCAATCTGTACCTTAGTTACTAGCTTAATCTGTGTTTGTACGTATAGTTGACAGCTACGTACTGAAACTTCCCTGTCCTTAGGTTGTTGTTTCGTTACAGGTTCTGTGCTTGAAAGAATGTTATTTTTCGATCTTCTTGGTTTGCCTCCTCTATGGTTTTATTTTATCTTTGTCGCTACGGCAGGGTTTTGCATAGCTTGTAAATGGCTGTTCTTTGCGTTTACTTGGTCTGACCTCTTTCTCGAAACTTTCTACGTATTGATATTCTTTTAAATGCGTTACAAAAGTCTTGTCTTCAAAACTTTTCTTTTAAGATTTTCTATACAGTCAAAGTTAGAAATTCTACATATATGTAGAAATTAATGAAAATCCGACTAACAAAAGTCTTTCAAATGATAATTGGCGTAAACTAGGTGTCCCATTTAATTTTCAACTCATATGAAATGTCACAACTAAGTTCGTCTTTGTCATTGAAGAAAAAAAAAACCGAATGAAATAAATGAGCCTTTAATAACAAAACAAAATGACAAGAAGGCTAGGGTTCCGCCTGAGTAAGTTATTTGAGCTTGGTGTCTAATTAATAATCAGGTATTAAGTTCAACTCCTTATGAGATTAAATAATTTTCTTAAGGCCTCGCAGTGTTCAGTAGATTTAGTCGAGCAATGCTACAATAGGTTACCAAAAAACCTTTGAAGACATTTTGTTGGAAGGAGAATTGCACGCATGCACCTCCGGATGGGCATAACCGGCCACAATATATATGTTTTCACACTAAACTCCACAACCGGCTCAATGTAATTTGAAGCCTTAGACAAAAATTATAAAAGTGGCCTTTTAAAATTTAAAATATTAGTATCAAATAATACTTTATAATTTTTATTTAAAAATCATTCTTCTTGCTTTGTACTCCAGTTGACCTGAAAAAGCTCCGTCTTTTATAACTTACCAGATAAAAAACTAGGAAAGTTTAGACAACCTTAGAGGATTCAGATTCTTCACTAACCGAATTTATTATTTATTGTTATGGAATTCAAAAGCTCGGCCTCCTCCATTGACGCTTCGTTTGCCATCACCAATAATACTTTGTGTTTGTATAGTTGACAGCCACCTACTTGTTGGAAATAGTGGCCTAGTTACACACACAACACTATACTATTTGGAAGAGAATAGAAATGGAGGAAAATATTTCTTATTTCACTTGATAGAAAATGAGTATAATGCATACATAGGCCTCACATATGTATGTGTAACCATTACATTTAAATGTCCATAACTCTCCTATCTCCCACTAACATAATCTTCAATATGTATAACTCCCACTAACATAGTATTTGTTAGGCTTAACTCTCATGACTCTTTATTTTACATAACCTTAACTCCCACTAAGACAATTTACTACCCACTAACATGCTAAATTAACACATGCATCATGGATACAAAAATACTTGAAAATACTAAATACTAAAATCAAGTTTATTTTCAACACCCCCCTTTAAACTTGATTTTGTAACTTGAAAAACCTTCTTATTAATCTTGGGGGCTTGATCAAAAGTTATAGTTGATCTTCAATTCCACCTCCTTCAATAGCTTCAATCTTCTTGGCCATTTCCATTGATGTGTAGGGCTTGTGAAACTTCTTCAAATGCTTGTTTGATGTCTTCACATAATCATATATCATCCTCTTTATACAAGCACACCATCGATCTTTTTTCTTCTTAAATTTTTTATGGATCTTCAACTTCACATATACTTCTTCTTTAGAGTCAAAAAATAATTCCATATTCACCCAACCTGTATCAATTACAAAATTCTCCAAACTATTTTTTAAAAAATAATATGAGAATTTCTTATCATCCTGGGCTTCAATCTCATACTTCTTTGGAACAACTTTCTTTAAAAGAAGTTCATCATTCTCCACAAAATAAACATTATTTGATGAATATGAAGAAATAATAATTTCATCAAATAAGTCAAATATAACTTCTTTCAAGGTGAAATTTGTAACCATCCCTGAAGATGTTAATTCACCAACTTGAACTTTTGCCTCTTCTTTAGCACTTCCTTCTTCTAAATCTTCTATTTTCACTTCATCCTCCTTCACTTTTTCAATCTCTTCTTTAACACATTTTCTTACCTCTTCCTTATTCACCATTTCAAATTCTCCTTCAACTTTTGAATCTCCAAAATCTTCAAGACTTTCATAATCATCTTTCGTAAACTCATCATTCTCAAAGCATTGTACCCAATACTCCATGGGTAGTGATTCACTTCTATGATTGGAAACGATGGTCTCGAGCATCTTCCAAATACAACTTGGAGTTTTGGACTCTCCAAAATACTCCCAAATTTCTTGATGTATTGCCTTTTGCAACACTATCAATGCCTTATCTTCTTTCTTTTCATGAAGCTTGTTGGACATGCCATTCTTTGGCTCTTCTCCAACAACATCCCACAAATCGCATGCTTTGAGGTATGAAGTCATGATGATTCTCATTCTCTTGTAATTAGAGAACATCATCTTTTCACTAAGAAAATACATTTTCTCCCCTTCATCATCATCAAGGAGAAACATGTTTTTCTCAAATGTTGAACCTTCTAGGATCAACTTCGTCTGGCCTTCAGGATCGTCTAGGCTCTGATACCACTTTGTTGGAAATAGTGGCCTAGTTACACACACAACACTATACTATTTGGAAGAGAATAGAAATGGAGGAAAATATTTCTTATTTCACTTGATAGAAAATGAGTATAATGCATACATAGGCCTCACATATGTATGTGTAACCATTACATTTAAATGTCCATAACTCTCCTATCTCCCACTAACATAATCTTCAATATGTATAACTCCCACTAACATAGTATTTGTTAGGCTTAACTCTCATGACTCTTTATTTTACATAACCTTAACTCCCACTAAGACAATTTACTACCCACTAACATGCTAAATTAACACATGCATCATGGATACAAAAATACTTGAAAATACTAAATACTAAAATCAAGTTTATTTTCAACACTACTGAACTTCTCTGTCCTTAGGTTGTTGTTTCGTTACAGATTCTGTGGTTGAAGGAATGTTATTTTTCGATCTTCTTGGTTTGCGTCCTCTAGGGTTTTATTTTGTCTTTGACGTTTTTGCAGGGTTTTGCATAGCTTGTACGTACATGGCTGTTCTTTGCGTTTTCTTGGTCTGACCTCTTTTCTTGAAACTTTCTACGTATTAATATTCTTTTAAATGCATTAGGAAAGTCTTGTCTTTGAGGCTTTTCTTTCAAGATTTTCTGTAGTCAAACTAAATATTCTACTATTCTACATCTTAATTGTGCCACTCCATATGGGTTGAAAATTAAATCCGACACTTAGTTTACGCCAGCAAAGGCAAGACTTTTGTAAGTTGTATTTTCATTATTATGATTTCAAAGACGAGACTCTTGTAAGTCGGATTTTCAATTGACGTAAACTAAGTGTTGCATTTAATTAATGAAAATCCGACTTACAAAAGTCTTGTCTTTGAAATGATAATTGTCGTAAACTAAGTATCGCATTTAATTTTCAACCCATATGGAATGGCACAATTAAGTTCATCTTTGGCGTTGTGAAGGAAAAAAGGAAAAAAAAAAAAAACAAATGAAATAAATGCTCCTTTGTAATGAATATACATGTATATATAGAGTAATATTCAGAGAAATAAATCTTTCATGGAGAGAGAGAGAAAGAGAGAGAGAGAGAGAGAGAGAATAGAAAGCTTTTCATTCAAGTGTGCGCTTACAAGTAGTATATACATATGGCCTATTTATAGGCTCACAATTTTAGCTTCCCAAACAAGCCATAATAAGGCTTTCACTGTAAGCAAGAATTGTGCTTTCTCCGTAAGCCAACAAAACTTTCATTGTAAGTAAGAATTGAGCTTTCTCCGTAAGCCAACAATGTCATCATGGATGACTTAAGATTGTGTACCCCACAAACATATATATATATATATATATATATATAACACTCCCCCTTGAGGTCCACAATACAACACTAAGAATATGCCTCGTTAAAACCTTACTAAGGAAAACCCAGTAAGACAAAACCCTAGTGAAGGAAAAAGAGTACAATATTCTTGTGTATGGTATTGCATAGATTAAAACTGTCTCATTAAAACCTTGCTAAGAAAACCCAATGGGAAAAACCCTAGCGAAGGAAAAAGAGTACAGTATACCAATACCTTTTCGATCACTTGCTTCCCCTCATTAGTTCAACCCTGAAGATCATTTAGTTGACGTATTCCAATGTTGTCCACTAACTTCTTGAATGTTGTAGTTGGAAGCGTTTTAGTGAATAAATCTACTAGATTATTACTTGAGTGTATCTGCTAAACATCAATATCATGGCTCTTCTGGAGCTCGTGTGTGGAAAAGAATTTTGGTGAAATGTGCTTGGTTCTGTCACTTTTTATGTATCTTCCTCTTACCTATGCAATACATGTTGTATTATCTTCATATAATATTGTTGGACTATCTTTGATTGAGGAGAGTCCACATGATTCTCGAATATGTTGTATAATAGACCTCAACCAAACACACTCTCTACCTGCTTCATCAATTACGAGTATCTCAAAGTGATTTGAGGAAGTTGCAGTCATGGTCTATTTCATAGATCGCCATGATATAGCAGTATCACCACAAGTAAACAAGTACCCTGTTTGTGATCGGGCTGTATGTGGGTCAAAAAGATAACTTGCATCTGCATATCCGATTAACTGGGGCTTTAATTTTCTTGAATAAAACAACCTCATATCAGTCATTCCCCGAAGGTAACGCATAATGTGTTTGACCCCATTCCAATGTCTTCAAGTTGGTTCAGAACTATATCGTGCTAGTAAGTTGACTGCAAATGCTATATCAGGTCTAGTACAATTTGCAAGGTGCATTAGAGCACCGATTGCACTAAAATATGGTACTTCAGGACCAAGAATTTCTTCGCCTTCTTCTTGAGGACGAAAATGATCTTTCTTAACATCAAGTGATCGGACAATCATTAGAGAACTCGAGGGGTGAGCTTTATCCATATAAAAGCGCCTCAAGACTTTTTCAGTATATGTTGACTGATTGAAAAGAATTCCACTTGGTAAATGTTTGATCTGCAGGCCGAGATAAAATTTTGTTCCACCAAGATCTTTCATTTCAAATTCTTTCTTTAAATAATTAGCAGTCGTGGTGAGCTCTTCAAGAGTTCCCACAAGATTTAGATCGTCAACATATACAGCTATAATGTCAAATCCATGAAAATGCATGGACAAACTTGATTATTCACATATCCTTCTTTTAGTAAATACTTACTGAGTCGATTGTACCACATGCGTCCTGATTGTTTCAATCCGTATAAGGATCGTTGTAGCCTGATTGAATACATAGTACGTGGTTTCAAGCTATTTGTTTTAAGCATTTTAAATCCTTTAAGGATTTTCATATATATGTCACTATCTAGTGATCCATATAAATAAGTTGTAACCATGTCCATCAGACGCATATCCAGTGCTTCTGAGATTGTCAAACTGATCAAGAAACGAAATGTGATTGCATCCATCATAGGAGAGCATGTCTCCTCATAATCAATACCAGGTCTCTGTGAAAAACCTTGGGCTACAAGTCAAGCTTTGTATCTTACAATTTCATTTTTCTCATTATATTTCCTTACAAATACCCATTTGTACCCTACAGGCATGACATTTTCAGGTGTCTGGACTACAGGTCCAAATACTTCACGTTTTGCTAATGAGTTTAGCTCTGCCTGTATTGCTTCTTTCCATTTTGGCCAATCATTTTTACATCGACACTCTTCAACGTTTTGAGGTTCAGGATCCTCATTATCACCTGCAATATCAAGAACAGCTGCAAAGGAGAATATATCGCTAATAATAATTGTATTTCTATCCCATAATTCTCTATAGTTTATTGAGATCTCATTATTTTTAGGTACCAGTGCCTCTTCAGGGGCTTGTGTCACTTCCGGGGCATACATATCTTCTGGGGCTACTTGCTTATAAAATTTAGATTGATCAATCATTTTCATTGTTCCTTTTGCAAGTATGACCTCTTCAGGAGCGTCAATTTCTTTATTTGATTTCTCTTGTCCTTTCCTCTTCCGGGGAACAGTGTTTTTTGCACCGACTGGTCTACCACGCTTCTGGCATGTCTTAGATGCATTTGCAATAACACTGACAGACTGCCCAACAAGGACATCAATTCTTGCTGGAATGTTTACAGCTGGTATATGTGATTTCATCACTTTCTTTGTGTCAGTGAATGCATTGGGTAATTGATTTGCAATACTTTGCAAATAAATGATCCTTTGAGCTTCTAGTTCACATTAATTTGTGCGAGGATCGAAATGAGATAAAGTCGAGACATTCCAATTAATAACTCGTTGCTCTTCTGGTTTTTTCTTCCCCCCCCCCCCCCCCCATCCTAATGGAGGGAAAACTGCCTTATCGAAATGACAGTCAACAAACCGCACCTTAAAAACATCACCCGTCATAGGTTTAAGATATCTAATAATAGATGGAGAATCAAAACCTACATAAATACCAAGTCGTCATTGAGTACCCATTTTGGTGCGTTGTGGGGGTGCAATGGGAACATATATAGCGCAACTGAAAACTCGTAATTGAGATACTTGGTTGTTGACCAATCACAAGTTGTAGTGGTGAAAAACTATGATATGCAGTTGGTTTAATGCAAACTAGTGATGCTGCATGTAATATCACATGTCCCCAAGCAGAAATAGGTAGTTTAGTTCTCATGAGTAATGGTTTAGCAATTAACTGAAGACGTTTGATAAAAGATTCTGCAAGACCATTTTAGGTGTGAGTATGTGCAACAGGATGTTCAATAAGAATGCCAATTGACATGCAATAGTCATCAAATGATTGAGATGTGAATTCCTCGGCATTATCAAGACGGATAATCTGGATTGGATAATTCGAAAATTGTGCTCGTAATCGGATTAGTTGAGCAAGGAGTCGAGAAAATGCAACATTACGAGTAGAAAGTAAACTTACGTGTGACCACCGTGTTGATGCATCAATTAAGACCATAAAATACCGAAATGGTCCACACGCTAGATGAATTGGTCCACATATATCCCCTTGAATTCATTGTAAAAATGGTGGGCATTGAACAACGACCTTGGAAGGTGATGGTCTGACTATTAATTTACCTTATAAGCAAGCGGTACATGGATAATCATTTGATAAAAGAATCTTCTGGTTCTTTAGTGGATGACCATGTGGATTTTTAATGATTCGGTGCATCATTGTTGACCAGGATGACCAAGGCGATCATGCCAAAGTATAAAAATATTTGGGTCAGAGCACTTCTGGTGCGTCACTGCATGTGACTCAATTACTCTTATATTTATATAATATAATCCAGAAAATAAAGCAAAGAGCTTTTCTAATACATGCTTCTAGCATGTAATACAGAGATATTCAACATCCCCTTTCATTTATAGTCTCCATATGATAACCGTTGAGACGTATATCTTTAAAACTTAATAAATTTCTTTTGAATTTGGTAGAGTATAGAGCATCATCAATATTCAATTTTGTTCCACATGGTAACACAATTATAGCTCTTCCGGAGCCTTCAATTAGGTCTGCTGGACCTGATATTGTATTGACACTAGCTTCAACTAATGTTATGCGCGAAAAATATTTTCTATTTTAGAGTATAATGTGCGTTGTTGCACTGTCTGCCAGACATATATCTTCACCATTTATCTTGGGTACAGTCAATGCCTTAGTCAGATCCATACTTCTTCATACACACAAAATATATATTTCACTTCAAACTTGAAATACAAACTAAATTTACATACATGACAGCCAAAATAAAAATATACTAGTACAACCTAGATAGAGACATATTGATACAATGAAAATTTAAACATACTGATATAGATAAGATAAAACACACAAGGGATAACATGCTAAAGAAGGACACAATAATTGGTATGGATATTTCCATCACCAATCAAATGATAAATACTACCACTAGGATCAGCAAAGAAGTCAGAAACATCAAGGTGAGTAATATCAACTGGCAAATTGTTATCCATAAAATTCATTTCAATTTCTTTTCCTATTCCCTTATCATTCATTGAGGCACGATAAAGATCAGTTAGATGTTTGGGTGTACAATAGGTACGCGACTAATGATCTTTCATTCCACACCTATAGCAAGGCTTGCCATCATATATCTCAGGAGCTTTGTTCTGCAAAGTTTTTCCTTTTGCTTGCTTGGTCGCATTGAATTCCACTTCTGGTGGGACGGTGTCGAGTTCCTTCTAGGAATTAATGAGGAATGATGACCACCACGATTATGATAATTATTTCTATTGCGACCATATCCACGACCACCATGACATCCGGGTCCACGTCCACATCCATGGCTGTGAAATGATGACACATTCGCTTCTGGGAATGGTACAGATCCAGTTGGATGGGACTGGTGGTTTTTCATCAAAAGCTCATTATTTTGTTCAGCCACCAACAAACAAGAAATCAACTTAAAATATTTTGTAAATCTTCACTCTTTATATTGCTGCTGCAGGAGCACATTTGAGGCATGAAATATGGAGTATGTTTTTTCTAACATATCATCATCAGTAATGTTTTCTCCATATAATTTCAATTGTGAGCTGATTTTAAATAAGGCTGAATTGTACTCACTTACACTTTTAAAATCCTGTAATCGCAGGTGGATCCAGTCATAGCGAGCTTTTAGAAGGATCATAGTTTTCTGATGCTCATATCATTCTTTTAAATTTTTCCACAGTGTAAGTGGATCCTTAACTATGAGGTACTCTTTTTTTAATTCCTCATGGAGGTGATGGCGAAGAAAGATCATAGTTTTCACGCGGTCCTACAAGGACGCATTATTTTCTTCCTTAATTGTCTCTCAGAGATTCATGGCATCCAAGTGGATCTCGGCGTCAAGGATCCATGACAAGTAGTTTTTGCCCGAGATATCAAGTGCCACAAATTCAAGCTTGGTAAGATTTGACATTATGAATGAACTATAAATGATAAAATAACATAGTTAGAATTATTTTACAGAAAGAATAATCAATTTTAGATTATAAAAATACTGCAGTCACTATAATATGATTTGCATGGTGGTGATACCATATAATAGTCAATTTATAATCACAACACAACAAGTGGCTTAGTGGCTTGTTAACTCAACTTGCGCATTAAAGGGCCACGGTTCGAATCTTATGGTAATTTTTTTTTCATTTTCCTATTACGTACTCAAATCTGAGCCAAGTTATATGTATAGCAATGCACATGAAGTAACATGTAAAAGATTGTAACAAGATAGCTAGCAAATATAATATAAATTGTTAGTAAATATACTATACCAAATATTCGTGAAACTTCAGGCTCACAAAGAGTATATTAATATATGCAAAATTTTGAGTTTCCCAATTAAATATAAATAATTTAGTATTTGCGAGACTTCGGGCTCAGCAATTTTAATTAACTGTAAAGTTTGAACAACAACAGTTTAATATAAATAATTATTTTTCTTACCTTTGAAGTGAGAAAGAAAAATAGAATTTTCTTCTCAATTGACAGAGTCTTGTGCTGATAACGTGTAATGAATATATATGTATAGAGTAATATTTAGAGAAATAAATCTTTCACATAGAGAGAGAGAGAGAGAGAGAGAGAGAGAATGGAAAACTTTTCATTCAAGTGTGTGCTTACAAGTAGTATATACATATGGCCTATTTATAGGCTCATAATTTTAGCTTCCCAAACAAGCCATAATAAGGCTTTCACTGTAAGCAAGAATTGAGCTTTCTCCTTAAGCCAACAAAGCTTTCACTGTAAGCAATAATTAAGCTTTCTCCGTAAGCCAACAATGTCATCATTGATGACTTAAGATTATGGACCCCACAAACATATATATATAACATCCTTTAATAACAAAACAAAATGACAAGAATGCCAGGGTCCTGTCCGAGTAGTAAGTTCTTTGAGCCTGGTGTCTAATAATTTGAAGCCTTTTAATGTTTAAAATATTAGTATAAAATAATACTTTATAATTGTTTTTTAAAAATCATTCTTCTTCCTTTTTACCTTAAACTTAACAACTCCAATTGACCTGCAAAAGCTCCATTTTTTATACTGAAATAAATTATCGATTTTCTCTCTCTCATTAAAAAGTTCTTCATAGGATTTGTACTTTCTCGTAACATATACTTTTACCTTATGGAAGTTACACA